TCGAGATCTATGAAAGGAGGGCAATCAGGAAGAAAGGGGCGAGGAGGAGGAGGAGGAGGAGGAGGAAGAGGAGGAGGAGGAGAAGGGGGGTGGGTGGGGAAGGGTTCTGTCGTGGCACGTAGAAACGCGCGGGGACTGGAGTCGGAAGAAACGGCGAGTTGATCGGGCCAGGAGAAAGAACCATCGGGATCGGGATCAGAAGAAGAATTAGAGAGAACAAAAATAATGGAGCCAGAGTGGAGGGGGGAGGGGTTCTTGTCGCAACGGGGGATGCAAGCCGGTATCCCAGCAAGAAGATGAACAAAAGGAAGAAGAGGAGGACAAGATTGGAGAGAGGTGAGATGGTGGGTGTGTGTGTGTGTGTGTGTGTGTGTGAGAGAGAGAGAGAGAGAGCAAATCGTCCTGTTTTCTGTACCTGCTTTCCTGTTTCTACCCAGGTATCCCGCGCGCGTGTGTCCATATGGTTTTTTTTTTTTTTTTTTTTTTTTTTTTTTTTTTTTTTTTTTTTTTTTTTTTTTGTGTGTGTGTGTGTGTGAGAGAGAGAGAGAGAGGGAGAGAGATTACAAATCGCCTTGTTTGCCGCTTTCCTGTATCTGCCCAGATATCTCGATCCCGATGCCGATCTCCAAGTAAACGGCTTGCAGTTTCAGTTCGCACTTGCTTTGGCAAAATCGATGTTTTTTTTATAATTTTGTTTTCCACACGTTCAGCTAGTGAATACGGGAATCCTCATTCACACTATGACTGTCTCGGATGCATTCGACGGCAATTACGCCCAAGGCATGGAGGAAGATGAGAAGGGCTTCCTCCCTCGAGTCGCATGGTTGCCACGTCCGGATCGGGATCGGAGCTACAGAGAGGACGAAGAAGAAGAAGAAGAAGAAGAAGAAGAGAGGTGATAGAGATAGATGTCCCGCATATCCATACAAGAAGAAGAAGAAGAAGAAGAAGAAGAGAGGGGGTCTGATAGTGTCACGTGTCCCGCACATCCATACAAGAAGAAGAAGAAGAAGAAGAAGAAGAAGAAGAAGAGAGGGGTTTGATAGTGTTACGCGGCCCGCACTCCGTACCGGAGTACGGGGAGGAGGAGGAGGAGGAGGAGGAGGAGAAAAGGTGACAGTAAGCAAAAGAAGAAACAGGAGAAGGACAAGAAGAGCAAGAACAGAGAACAAGTGGACATCGGTATCAGAGTACAAGAAAAACCCTCGCCCCGCCATGGGCTAGGCACGGCGGGACCGAAGAAGAAGCAAAAACATTTGAGCAGCTCTCTCGTGCCACGTGTCACCCACGTCGGATTGGTGTTCGAGGAAGGAAAAGCCGGACGAAAAAGAGCTGGTGGTGATAAACACTGGGTAGCTGCGTAGGTATCGGACAAGGAAAGAAGAACGAGAAGAAGAAGAAGAAGAAGAAGAAGAAGAAGAAGAAGAAGAAGAAGAAGAAGAAGAAGAAGAAGAGGAGGACGAGGAAGTAGAAGAAGCTCTTCACAAATTTAGCAATCAATCAATCAATCCATTCCATTCAGGAATCAATCGTTTCACTCTTTGATAAGGTGATTGATTGACTGACTGATTGACTGACTGACTGACTGACTGATTGATTGATTGATTGATTGATAGATTGAGTGAGTGATTGATTTGATTTAATTGCCTGATGGTCGCTTATTGATCGATTGATTGACCGCAAAATCGATCGACTGAAACGTCAAGAAGACGAGAAGGAGGACGGACGACGAGGGAGTCTAGAGCGCAGGTGTGATTCAGGGGATTTGCGAAAACAAAAAAAAAAATCTTCTTACTAACAAATTCAATGTTATTATATTCCCGGCCTCGATCTATCTTTGGAAAAAGTTAAAACGGAGCTTGATTGCAAAAAAAAAAAAAAAARAAAMAAAAAAACAGAAGAAGAAGAAGAAGTTACTATTATAGTAAGAAAAAAAAAAAAAAAAAGAAAGAAAGAAAGTAAGTATAAATGGTAATGCAAACAAACTCCTCTTTCTTTTTTCTTCTTTGTGCTTCTGCAGCCTCCTCTTTCCATTACTTAGCACTCTCACTGAGCACGGATGTGGCTGCTACCGGGTTCCCCGTAATGCTATAATGACAATTAATAACAAGGCCGGCCCTCCTGTCCAGATTCGACAGGTTATTGAATTATTTTTTGGGGGGGTTAAAATAAAAGACTTAACCTTTACTATAATTAAAAATTTCAAAAATAGTAGAGCAGAAACAAGGGCTTTGCGCAGCCCATGCGGCTGAATGGTACACACATGTAACCGTTAATAAACAGACCATTAAAAAAAAAAAAAAAAAAAAAAAA